TGAAGACAAAAAAAAAAAAAAAGTCATGCAGGAGAGAGAGAAAAAAAAAGATGAACTAGTAGAAGAAAAAGGAAAAATAGATTCAACAAATCTAACATGCCAAAAAGCAATTCATAAGGAGACTAATTAGAAAAAGAGACACTAGGCAAACTGTTGATCAAAAAAGTTACAACAACAACAACATCAAACCAATAAGTGAGAGGAACTGAAGATTGGTGTAGCAAACAAATAGCCATTTCAGTAATATGTAAGTACTTCTTCTCTGCAACTCCATTTTGAGATGGAGTGTGAGGACAAGAAAATTGGTGATGAATGCCATGAGAGTGCATAAAAGCTTGCATGAAATGATTAACAAACTCACCCCCCACCGCCCATCTAATCGAAGAATCTTAAGAGGAAAACAAAATTGTTTTTCAGTAAAAACTTTAAACTCCATGAATTTAGCATGCACTTCACTTTTATAGGAAAGAGGATAAAGCCATGAAAATTTAGTAAAATCATCAATGAATAGCACATAATACTTGTATTGAGAAGAAGAAGAAGTAAATGGCCCCAGACATCACTATGTATTAATACTAAAGGCTGATTTACATGATTATTGGAAAGGTGAAAAAGTAATCTATGACACTTAGCCACAACACAGTTAACACATGAATGTGTAGTCTTATTAGATGACAAACATAAATGCTATTTAAGAAGATGAAACTTAAAAGAAGAAGGATGGCCTAGTCTTTGATGCCATGTATCAACAGATGCAGAAGAAGAGGAAGATGAGGTTGAACTACTATAAGCATGAGGTGAAGCATGAAAAATATTGTCAAAAAATTGGTAAAGACCATTAGCATGAAGACCTCTATGAAGAATATCCTTGGAATGATTGTCCTGAATAGAAAAAGTAGAGTGATAAAAAATAACAGAACAATTATTATCTTTGGCTAACTTTTGGACAAAAAACAAGATTAGAAGAGATGGAAAAAACATGCAACATTTTGTCTAGTTTAAAAGAGTGATGAGGAGGAAGAAGAATACCTTGCCCAGTATTATGAATAGAGAGTGAAGAACCATTACCAATGGCGACTTGATCTTCTCTGTTATATGGCTAATAGGAATTCAAAAGGTGCAAATCATTGGTGATGTGATTAGATGCAGCAGAGTCAAGAACCAGGGAGAAGAGGTTGAAGTAGTAGTATCAACTGGCACAGATGCAACAAAGGCCTTAGATTGATGCTGCTGAGATTGAGGTGAGTGATGTGGATATGAAGGAGAATATTGAAAATTAGAGTCCAGTTTGTGCCAACACTCTAGAGCAGTGTGATTTTGCTTGCCACAGATTTGACAGATCATGTCATAACGGCTAGAACTTGATCAACCTCCTCAACCTTGTTATCTACTACAAAATGAAGAAGATCGACCTTGAGTAAATCTATTTCCACGATGATAACCGTGAGAATCATTACGAGTAGAACCTCGACCATGGGAATAAGAAGTAAAATCTTTTGAAGAAGACACAGGTTCCTTTATTGTTGCATAAACAACTGGGAGATTTGAGGCTTGTTTCAATTTGCCTTCAATATGAATAGCCTCTGAGCAGAGTAAAGAAGAAAGCTCTTCCATAGTGATACTCTTCGAATGAGTACGGATAGCAGTTTTAACAGCATCATATTCATTAGGCAAGCCATTCAAAGTGAGGAGAACAATCCTCATCATCAACAAATGAAGAGGCAATGCTCAATTGGTCAACTAAACTTTTGATTTTACCCAGATATATCTCCATGCAGTTTGATTTCTTTGAAATTGAACTCAATTTGTTCTTTAACTGATGGATATGAGATCTTGATAGAGAAGTAAACTGCTTATCAAACATTTTCCATACCTGAGAGCTGGTCTGAAGATAAAGAACAGAGGTGAATATAGAAGGGGAAAGTGTGGCTGTGATGCAACTAAGAAGGTGTGCATCAATCATCTTCCAACGAATTGCTTTTGGATTCACAATCTCTGTTCCTGATATACTTCGAATCATATTGCTAGGGCAAGAAAAGGTACCATCTACAATCTTCAACAGATCAGTGGCACGAAGGATGTTTTGCATCTGGTATTTCCACACTATGAAATTAGTGTTATCCAACTTCACTGTAACAAGTGACCCAAGATTCGAGATCAAAAACCAAGATTTGAAGGAATCGCAACTTCAGACGAAGAGGACGACTCCATTGTAGCAATCACAGGTATAAATAACGGAGAAGATGACATGAAAGTCTTGGAGTCGAAGCTCTGAGAATCGATGGATGGCAAGTTTAATCTCACAGGAGGATCATCAATCGCTCGTTGGAGCTAAGACAAGGTCTGTTACCATGATGAAAGATCAAGATTGATTTTATTAGTTTTCAACACACCATTTACACTATTATTGATATCTATATATATCAGTTAAAGGAAACCTAACTACTTCACTAACAATCTAACTATTAATCTAACTACTGGATGAGATCTTGTTACAAAGGAAATGATTTAGTGTATTACAGTAGTATGGGCCTTATGCTGTACTCAATCTCTTCTTTGCAACCTGTAGAATATCTTCCTTATCATCTAGGCCCTATGAACCTTTATGTGCTCTTCCTCGCCCATATTCCCGCTTTGTGCTATTAAGTTTCACTCATCTTTGTCACCATCTTTATCGTAGTTGAAAGGCAAAGGTACTGACTTAAAAGCACGATACTTGTCGACATTATTTGGATGTTCATTCTCCAACCTGAACAACAAATCAAATAAGAACAATAACCATAAAAATAGTAAATTAGATAATCAATCACAAGCTCTATAAATGAAATCGTGGCAATATCTTGAAAAATACCTAAAGAAATTCCATATGCCATGACAAATGATCTCTAGGACAGCTACAATTATGGCTACGATTTGTTTATGCAAGAAAGGAACCTGATGGAACACTGTTTGCAGCCAAACGAATCTCAACAAAACATTCAAAACTTGCACAATTTTTCATGAAATTCATTAGTAATTTTGAGATCAAACCATATGGTAAATCCCAGAACTTATTGTTTCTTTCTCACAATGACTGCAAAATAGACACTCTTGTGTGGGACTAGGACTTGTCTCTCAACCAACGGTTCTTTGACTTTCTTTAAAGGAGACCCCAATCCAAGACTAGGTCCCAATAGGTACCAAAAACTACAACGATCACAGAGGCAATCCATGCCAATATATTCCAACTAACCCCTTTGTTAAGAGAGTAAGCTATCCTTATACAAAGAGCTACTATGGTTATGAAATATTTCACTCCATTGAGTCCTTGCATACCATCTTTCTCTTCATAAAAGCATCGAAGGCAATATGAAGAAGAACATGAACTGTTTCAAGTGTCTAATTATAAGATTGGCAACTTGAAAAAAAAAACATTCTTTGATTCTTTGTTCTTGAACTTGGACATAAATTTTCAGCCAAGCTTGAGCAGAGTTTAAAGCCATGCATTGAATTAATTGCATTCCTTACAATGAGTCCGTCTGGTTTTTTATTTTTTATTTTTTTTTTTTTGTAAACTGAAAGTTGATAATTAGAAAGGAAAAACGAAAAGCATCATTTCTCTAACTTCCAAATAATTGCTTTTTTTTTTTTTTTAAAGACTCATAAGCTGTAAGCAAATGTTGTACAATTCGAGTCTAAGTACAATGTTACAAACAATGTTTCTTTCCCCCTCTCCCCCAAAACAAGAGCACAAAATCTCCAAAGAATAATGGGTACTACTAACCACTACAAAAAAATTGACTTTTTGCGACGGTAAAATACCGTCGCTAATACTCCTAATGCCGTCGCTAATACTTTTTGCGACGGCAAAATGACTTTTTGCGACGGCAAGAGGGGGTCGCAACTGCAGGGGTTGCAAAAGAGTTTTTGCGACGGTAAGTGCCGTCGCTAATGTTTTGCGACGACATTTTTTACCTTTTTGCGACGGCACCGTGCAGTCGCTAATAACGTTTGAAATTTCTTAGCTTTTTTGCGACGGCCCTATTTTACCGTCGCTAAAAATGTTATTTGAGACGGCAAAAAATACCATCGCTAATAGTCTTTTTCTTTAAAAAAAACACTATTTTTGCGACGGTGTGGTACCGTCGCAAAAAGTATATAAAATATAAAATTTTTTATTTTTTGCGACAGTGTAATGCCGTCGCAAAAAATAATAAAATTTCTATTTTTTGCGACAGTATAATATCGTCGCAAAAAGTAAAACCTATAACAAAATTAATAAAAATATTAAAAATTTCTATTTTTTCCGACGGTGAAAAGAGCTGATTATTTACATTCCATTCACAAAAACATCATAACAGAAAATAAAAATAAAAATTGATCAAACCATCAAATTCAATATTTTACAAAGAATAATTAAACTGTACATGTTCATAAAAGCATATTTAAATTATAAAATTCACCCAAATCCTAAAAAAAAAATAATAATAAAATAAAATCTAAAATTCACCAATCAGCACATTGGATATTTAAATGCTCTTACAAAAAATAAAAAAATAACGACGGCAATCTTTTCTGTGACATCACTATCTCCTGAACATCACAAAGAACAAACCAAAGTTAACACCAATAACGACGGCAATCTTTTCCCCCTGGTACAAAACCAATAGCAATGTTAAACAATTATATCCACAAAAACACTATTTTAGAGTATACAATTGATTCTAAAAATAAATAACAATACATGAATTTAATTCTAAAGCTCCGTTGAACAACAAAGAGAATTATGTTTAGAAACAAATGGTCAAGAAATGGCACAATCTTTCTATAACGGAAATAAAGCAACTTGGAAAAGCATTTTTAGTCATTTTTCCACTTTCTGTCCATGACAGATTCACAATGAGATATAAATAGACCTAAATCTTCAGTTTCTGATTATTTGGGATATGACCAAAAAATAAAAAAAAAAGGGGGAGTTTCTACTAGTCAGAGCCATTGCCATTTGCATGTGGTTGGGTTACCAACCAGCATCCAGGAACCATCCATCAAGTGGAACTATGTTCAGGTGGCTGCAGGGTTAGATCAGAGAGAGAGAGAGAGAGAGAGAATTGTTCACAAGAAAATTTCTTGCTTGTGGTTTTACAAAAGTGGACCATAAAAACTATAAATATGACAACTATCCAAGGGGACAATTGTGGAATTATGCATTCAATGAGGACAATTGTGGAATTATACATAAAAAATCCTACATATACAAATTTCTCATCTAATTTTCTTACTATTAAATACAAAGATATGAGCCTACGATTACTTACTGTGTAATGATATTCAAATAACAAATTCTTGTGTACAAACATCACACTTCTCAGTTGCAACCATTGTGTAGGCTAGTTCTGCACAAAATAAACATTCACTAAACTGAATAAAAAACTAGAATAAACCATACACTATCTGGGATTATATATCAACCTCACCTAATTTTCGTCCATGGAATTATATATCTCCTGATTCATCAGCTCCCACATTGTAATGCCTGCAGAGGCTTTGGTAACAGTGGTCTGTGAACAAGAAACACTCAAGACACCTGCAGCATTGTAGGTTGAGATCTCGGATTGGGACTTAAGCATGCCATTGCCATTGTTGCTAAGAGAACCAAATTTTGAGCAATCAGTTGATTGACAACAGACAACAGGCAGGGATCTAATAGGTCCTTCAGTAGACTATTTTGAGCAGATGATGATGACACTAAACAGAGTAGTTCGCTTGGATACCTTCCCATTATTGTTTCTAGAACCACCACCCCAAAGCTATAAACATCCCACTGCTCAGTCACGGCCATGGTGTACGCAAGCTCTGCACCAATAAGAGGAGTTCAGAATTTTTGTTTTCTACCCTGCCTTCACTGGCATAAACTAGATTTTGTGATTACATTGCATAACATATTTAATAATACCATAGAAAATACTATATCAGCTGCATTTTCTTACATAATTCTTTTCCCACTCTTGCAGCTAAGGAAATGCAGAGTGGGGCGAGTGTCTAGCGGGTACAAAGCCTCGTGAATAAACTCAAACTCTGAATACGCATAATAACCTGCAAATCACACGAGCTTGAATTTTTTTGCACCCATTGAGAATCTAACATGAGAGATTCAAAATTATCCTATAATGAAGCTTCTATGTATCTGACATGAGACTTTCAAAAATTATCCTATAATGAAGCTTCTATGTTCAGCCCTTACGCTGTGTTTAGGTCATGGATTTTGGGGAGGGATTTAGAAATGAAAAGAGAAAATGTGTGCAAAACTATGTTATTTCACCTATATTTTCCCTTTTCCTTTCCTTTTCCTTTTTCCAAATCCCTCCACAAATTCTTACAAAGTTTTTGTACAAAATAATGCGACTACCTTTCACTTTGAAACAAAATGCAAATGAAGATTTTTTTTTTTTTACAGGAATATCATTCTTCACATAATTTCTTGTACAATTTTTATATATGAATAGAGTTTTCTTTTTTCTTTTTTTATTTATTTACTAATATGAACACCTTTGGATCTAGTAGAGACCATACGCAAATGATTTTTTCACTAGTTTTATAAAAAATTGTAAACCAGCTTTACCTACATACAAGGTCAAGATATTGGGATTTTTTTTCTTTAAAAACAACTCATTTTTTAAGAAACACCATGAGCCTTTAGGATAAATTTATAAGAAAAAAGAAACGATATGGAAACATAAGATAGTTTTGAAAATTTCATTACTTCTTGTTTCTGAAAACATAAAAACAAAACAAAACAAACCACCAAACATCCCAAATGAATTATACAATTGAAACAATATGATGTTCCAAAATCGGATTCGAAGTTGTGGACATGTTTTTTAAAGTGAAAATAGGATAAGAATGAAAGAAAATCTTCCCAACTTATTAAAAACCACATCAAGCGATACAGACTGATGATGCAAAGGACGTTGAATAAAATAGGAGTTTAAATGAATCCAGCTTTAAACCACTCCTGACGTATACGTGTTATAAAGACACTGTGTCTATATGTCCCAGTGCTACGAAATCTGAAAAAGTTATTTGAAAAGTTGGCAAAAAATAAAGTGTGCAGACTAGACTCAAATTTTTGGCTTTTTTTTTTTTCCTTTTATTTTTGAAAAATTTAGTAAGCTTTTTGCATAGAACTGTGCTTGATCTTTTTGCTAATAAATGAATAGCCTCTTGAATATGTTGGCATTTTCAAAGATCATGAAGAAATATGACAAGGTGTTTTTCTATCTAAAAATCTGAATTCTCTTTTTCTATCTAGGCAATCTGAATAGTTATTTTTACTAAGTTGTTTGTTTATACCTAATTATTGTAGACAACTTCAAGAAATGCATCAAAAGCTTACTTGAAAATGGTAGACAACTCCTACCTTGGCAGTTTTGATGAGGTGAGTACATGGGACACTAATATGATTCAAGAATAGTTATTTCAAGCTAAAATACTATGAAACACGAGTGCGGGTATGAGTGTGGTGCGGGTACGTCAATACAACAAAACTCAAAAAAAGTATGATACGGGTACGACTGCGGTATGTTGATGTGATTTGATTTTATTTGTAATTATGGTTAAAGGATCCAACCTACAAATTAAAATTAAATATCAAAACTAAAAAGAGAACTACAAAACTATTAATATAAAACCATTAAGCATTAAAAATAATATTTGTGAATCTCTCACATTGACATGTTATGCACTGTGATCATAATTTATTTAAAAAATATTTCTTTTTGCTCATCAATTTGCTATTTTATAGGGTAAGACCAAAGAAGAAAGATTTCATAAAGACAGCAGATGAAGAACAGCAGCAATTAACATTACACAAAAAGGCACTTTAATTAAGTCAAAATTAAGATAATACTCTACTACATTTACACAGATCAATAATCTCATCCCTCAATGCAAGCTTAGCTGAGAATTGAAGAGAGAAATTGAAAGGTCTTACGTGAAATCAATATTGGGCTTAAGAGAATAATGCTGATATTTGCAAAAGAGAAAACAGAGGGGTCTTGGCTAAAGAGAATGACACTGATATTTGCAAAAGAAATAACAAAACAAAATTGCTGATCTACAGGGGCATAAAAAAAAAGAAAAAAAAAAGAGATGAAGAACACTCATCAGAGGGAAGACGAAGAAAGGAACAAAGAAGATGAAGACCAATTGCTAATTTGCAGGAAAAAAATTATGTAAAAACGAAGAAGAAGAAAAAGAAACGAAGAAGACGGAGATGAAGAAGAAAAAGACGAAGAAGAAGATGAAGAACACTCACTAGAGGGCTTCGTCTTGTTGCATCGTCGTTGTTGGAGGACTTCGAAGTGAAGAGATATTGCTGAAGAAGCCTGCGCCGTTTCTCTTTGTTGTTGCTGAAATGAAAAGATGTAAGAAGGGACAAAACCTAGGTTTATATATTCTTAATATTAGAAAATAACACTGTATTTTTTTGTTTTTTTTAATAAAGAACATAAATAAATTCCTCCGGTACTCCTAATTCTCTTACAAATTTGATTTTTTGCCCTGGCGTACCCAAAACGTACCAACGGCATACCCATGTCGTACCCACGATGTGTCCGATTGAACCAAACGTACCAAACCCCCTTTTGCCGTACCCGGTACGCGTACCCGTACCCGGTAAGTATCCAGCACTCGTACGACACCATTTTTGGAGTACCTGTGCTTCATAGCTAAAATATAATACATATAATAGTTTTCTTAGACACTTTGGAAAAACAAAAAAAAAATGAAAAATTTGATGATTCAATTTGGGAAATTGCAGGTTAATAAGCTTATGGACATGGTTGAAGCTACATTAATCAAGCATTTTTTAAACTCAAACCGAAGTAAAGAGATGAACAACTTAAGACCAAAAGTGAAGAGACAAAGGCATAGGATAACATTCTCCTTAATTAGGTAAGATTTCAACACTCCTCACATGGCTATTTCTTTTTACGTCAAATTCTCTAACTTAATTTGTTTGTTGTCTTTTCTTTGATCCGATGACTCGAAAAAATTTCAGGGTTCCTATTTGGTTGCTCAATGGCACTCCTAATTGCCCTTATTTTGGTTATACATACTCACAATATCATCGACCAAAAAGGCTACGACCAGTACATGGATACATTGTTTCCATTTTATAGGTAAATTAAAACTCCCCCAAATGATGTTTTCCTATGTGCTTTTTTGTTTATGTTCAAAAGGGTTAAAGTGGTCCTAGTTTGTGTTTGGACATGTGAAAAGTCAATTCCCTTGTGAAAAAAAAAAAAAAGATATACGCACTGTCAAGTCCTTAAACATAACTTAAGCAATGCCTTAACACCCAAAGCTAAACGGCTAGGGGTTTCAATTTTTGTTAGCAATTAGCACTATAATTTGTTTGACACATGTGAATTTACCTTTTGTAGCTTGTTTGGATTCATTACACTTCACATGCATATGTACACTAGAAACATATACTACTGGAGGCGGTACAGAGTCAATTATTCATTTATATTTGCTTTCAAGGAAGGAGCTGAAATGGGATACATAGAAGTTTTCCTCCTAAGCTTTGGTGTTGCATTGCTAGCATTAGCATTCTTTGCATGCAAACCTCGACATGGAAATAAACCCTAAAACTCAAGATTACAAAGCAATCACTGAACTCGTGCCTATTAGACTTCTAGTCGTAAGTTTATTTAACTCAACCATCTTCTTTGTAGTTCCCACTTCTATATATAGTTTGCTTAAAACTATAAAATCTTTCCCTCTTTACAGTTCTTGATTGTCATATTGTTCTGCCCATTCACCATCATTTATCGATCAAGTCGCTTCTTTTTACTTGTGTGTGCGTTTCACGGCCTTTGTGCTCCTCTCTACAAGATAAAAATTTGATTGATAATGCTATCCGACAATGAAAAGGTTCGACAATTTAAATAGTTTACTTATATAAGATTTTCTTTTCCTTATAGGTGAAACTTCCTGATTTTTTCTTGGCAGATCAGCTAACAAGCAAGGTGAGTAGATGGGATTTCTGTTATGAAGCCTAGAGTTCTATTTTTATTATTATTTTTGGGGAGACTACAAATACAGGAAAAATACTTGTATGGATAGTGGTGTCTACAACACATTCTATTTCATTGTTGCCACAATTCCATACGTGTCTCGTCTCCTTCAGGTAAGTCCTTGTTTGGGTTCTTCCAATTCAAGGGTTTGTTCACAAGATTTACCAGTTTTAAAGGCCGTTACACTACAAGAAAATGGGGCTTAAAAGACGGAACTATTTGCGACGGTACACTTACCATCGCAAAAAGTAAAAAATACCGTCTCAAAAAACAGAGTATTTGCGACGGTAGAAAAATACCGTCTCAAAAAAGAATAGTACTTGCGACGGCAGAAAATACCGTCACAAATACTCTCTTTTTTTGCGACGGTATTTTTCTACCGTTGCAAATACTCTGTTTTTTTAGACGGCATTTTTTACCGTCACAAATACTCTGTTTTTTGAGACGGTATTTTTTACTTTTTGCGATGGTAAGTGTACCGTCGCAAATAGTTCCGTCTTTTAAGCCCCATTTTCTTGTAGTGTAACGGCCTTTAAAACTGGTAAATCTTGTGAACAAACCCTTGAATTGGAAGAACCCAAACAAGGACTTACCTGAAGGAGACGAGACACGTATGGAATTGTGGCAACAATGAAATAGAATGTGTTGTAGACACCACTATCCATACAAGTATTTTTCCTGTATTTGTAGTCTCCCCAAAAATAATAATAAAAATAGAACTCTAGGCTTCATAACAGAAATCCCATCTACTCACCTTGCTTGTTAGCTGATCTGCCAAGAAAAAATCAGGAAGTTTCACCTATAAGGAAAAGAAAATCTTATATAAGTAAACTATTTAAATTGTCGAACCTTTTCATTGTCGGATAGCATTATCAATCAAATTTTTATCTTGTAGAGAGGAGCACAAAGGCCGTGAAATGCACACACAAGTAAAAAGAAGCGACTTGATCGATAAATGATGGTGAATGGGCAGAACAATATGACAATCAAGAACTGTAAAGAGGGAAAGATTTTATAGTTTTAAGCAAACTATATA